CCGCCCCCCCTAAGCCTTTCCCTTTCTCCTCGCCAGGTCCTGCATCCTCAGCGAGGTGTCCACGCGGTCCCGCTCTAAGCTACCTTCGGGGAAGAACGTCCTCCTGCTGGGTGAGGAAGGCATCCCCATCCCCTCCTGCCTCACGCTCCTTGTGACCCTCTCTTGGGCCTCTGGGGAGGTGGCGGGGGGGGGTTGATGGTGGCAAGGTGCTGCTGGCTTAACCTGCTCGCTGCTTCCTCTCGCATGTTGTTTTTTTTGCTTCATTTTGGATATCTAATATCCAAAGGTGCTTTAGATAGCCTTCTCATGGTAGGTACCTCGCCATAATACCCTCGGTGGCCTTCCCCCACCCTACTTCCTTAGGTAGAGGGTGGTTTTTATTGTCTTTCTCCCCACGATGAGTGTTGACTTTGGGGGTGCCTGCGGGTCCCTCAGCCTTTTCTGCAACCTCCCCGGTTGGTGCAACCGGTGCTGGTGGCTGGTTGGTGTGTCATTCAAGCAGGAGAATTGCTTCCGTGGCCCGTACGGTATCAATGAGGGCTGCTCCCTGTTGGCCGGAGGGCGGGGAAGGCTGGCTGGGCGTGTTGGTTGTGTCCTGCCCACACGCACCCGGCTTCTCCGCGGCAATACCAGCAGCAGCATCGTTTACTGCCGCTGGCTTTCATTGTGTTATCTCCACCCAGTGCGTTAGTCCACCCTTGCGTTGGGCAAGGAGTAGGAGTTACGGAATGGGACTTTGATAGGGCGATAATGAGAGACCCAGCTGTTATTCACCGTTGAGGGAGAGAAGAAAAATTGTTAGGTCAAGCAACATTAAAAAACTTCATTGGGGAAGGGGAGAAATGGATGGTCTCAAATGTGTGTGTGCGTGTATACATATTATTGCTATTATTAGTAGTAGGGGGTTTTCCACCAGGGTGGTGGAGCACTGGAACAGGTTGCCCAGGGAGATGGTTGAGGCCCCTTCCCTGGAGATATTCAAGGAGAGGCTCGACGAGGCCCTGGGCAACCTGGTCTAGTTGGGGGTGTCCCTGCTGACTGCGGGGGAGTTGGACTAGATGACCTTTGGAGGTCCCTTCCGGCCTGGGCAATTCTATGATTCTATGATTCTTGGCTGAAACACTAGTAAATGCTATTACCAGTCAACAGTTTAATGAATCCCAGTGAATATATTTGTTAACTAGCTGCTTCTTCCCTCCTTTGTCAACCTCCCTGTCCTCAGAAAGAACAGTATGTTAGTATTTAGGAACATGGTTTAAATGTAGTGAAGATACTCACGTGGACTCTATGCACACTATGATTCTGTGTACTCTTGTAGTTTGTACTCTCTTGAGGTTTTTCAAGTTAGTTTCCCCCCCATAATTCTAAAGCAATCACTGTGACCCTTTTCTTCCTGTTTTGATAAGCTGAATAGTGGCTTAAAACTGACTATGAAAGAGAAAATCATGCAAGGATGATGGGATGGTCTAGTGAACTTACTAGCCTTTCATTTGTTGCTTTTTATGTTATATACTTAAGTATGATATTGAGATTGGAAGTTCTGTTGATACTAAAGAAAGGAAATATTTCATAAGGATTGACAGCTTTCTATGTGATATTTTAAAACTAAATTGGGTGATTGTCCTTGTTGAAGTTGGAAGATTCTTCTTTAAGCTGTGATCCCTGTCAAGAAGATTACACTCCTGCTTTTCCTCTCCGTAGTCAGGCAATCCTTAGTACTCAATAACTGGAGACTGTGCTTCCCTCATAACTAGAGAGGGCACCGTAGAATGTTTCCAAATGCTCATTCAGTTAATAATATTTAATCTTAGAATTTTTTTTTTTTACTGATACATTTTTTAAAAGATGTGCAGATTTGTAGAAGAAATTCTAGTTCTTTCTTAGGAATTGTGTTTTCTAGAAGGCCATGATCTAAGGAAAAAAAAAAAGTTTGGCATGTATTTAGGAAAAAGAGCATCAGATCTGAGGACCAGCCAATGAGGAACGTGGCCATGTTCTTTGTGAGAATACCTAATCCATGTATTACACTTTGCTGTTCATTGCAAGTCATGATGCTGCTCCTGAAGCATGCTCACGCAGGAAAAGGAGAGGTCTTACTGAGTCTGCCCAATACAGGATACGTATGTGAAGTTTTGTCCCTTCAGGTTCTTGAGCTGTGTGTTTGCAATTTCTCTGTTATCTTGTGTTTCTTCTACTTTTAAGCTTTGTTCCTTTAAATAGTTTTGTACTAACTTTTCTTGTTAATACAGATCACTTCTTGCCGTGACTATTTTCAGTTTCATCATTCTTTGAATACTTCCAAGCAGGAGATGTAAAGCTGACCGGGATCTTGATAATTTTCACTCATTTTGTGGTAGACAAATATTTGCAGTATATACAGTTGTATTGGTCAAAACTTCCTAGCTGAAACATGATATATAGTGAAGAATGCTTATTTTCAATACAAACTGCATTTAAGAAAAACCAAAATCCCCTAAACCTCTAACCCATTCCCTGCCCCCTCTCCCCCACCAAAAAAAAAAAAAAAAACAACCCACAGAAAAAAACACCAGATAAACCCACCACTTAGTGTTCTTTTGTTTGCTAGGGCAAGTTTTCTAATTTGCCTACAGCATTTATATTTTTTTAAACGTTGCATATACTTGTATGCCTAGTTTTTCTGGGAACCTGGCTATGTCTGGCATGCTAATTCTGCTATTTCAGTATTTAATTTTAGCTATGTTAGCATCTCACTTTTGAGAACCTGGAAAGCAGTTCAAGACATCACAGAAATAACTAAAGGAGATTGGAATACCAAATGTTAATCTCTAGATATGGCACATAGCTTTGTGAAGTGAAGGTTAACATATAATACTGGTAATTCTCTGCTCAAAATCAGCCAAAAAAATTAATTAACTTAAGTTTCACTTCTCCAAAATAATTTTACAGACATTTTTTCAATAACTATTTTTTTGTGTAGGCTTTAAACTTTGATTGGCACTGCATGTACCATAAAAGCATTTTTTCTGTTCTTGTACGAACAAATAGTAAAAATGCAAGCTTTCCTAAACTTTTCTGTAAGGCAAGTGTGCTCTGATTCCTAGGTAGTTCTGTCATGGTGACTATAGCTACCTCATTTAGCAAACTATACCAGCAGAAAATGTAACATGTTCCTGCTTTCTTAAGGAAATTGGGTGCTCTCAGTGACATTTCTAGCTACTTTTTGCAGATAGCCAAAGGCGTGTGGTTTTGTTGTTGTTGCTGGGGTTTTCTTCCTTTTTTTTTTTTTTTTTTTTTTGTCCCTCCTCAACTGTCTCTTCTGCTCACCTGTGTAATAAAAGGTAGCTCATCAGAGGAGATGCTTTTTGTTGAGCCTGTTGAGAAAACTGATGCTTATAACCGGGAGCTCTTGTCTTTATTTGCTTCCTGATATAATTATATCTGAACCAGCAAGTGGAATAGAGGGAGCAGCTAAGAAGTCACCATTGCAGGTTATGGACGGAATCCATAGGGCTATAGAATGTGTGAAGGCTTGGGTTCAGAAACCCAAACTCATAATTTATTCAGTAAACTGCAGCATGCATTCAAGCAGTAATGTTCAAAGCAAATCATTCCAGCGCGCACAAGAAAACAGGCTCCCAGCTTGTAAGTTAACTGAGTAGTTGCTTTCTATCTGGGCTTTGTATTTCATCCATTCCTCTGTCTCTGAAGCATAGTAGCTTCTTTGCCTGCAATTCTAATGATGTCAAACCACCCACTGACACATGTACACCTGCCTCCAAGTGTCTGGATAGCACACTTATGCTTCTACTGAATCACTAGCATTTTGGTTTTCTTTATGCATTTTATCCCACTTGATGATAAAGGTTTTACATTTAGTGGGCAGTGAGTGTTCAACTGCCTTGTGTCCACATTTTCTCTTTACCCCAGACATCTCACTTTGCAGGGCCAGGCCTGTTTGTTTGAATCTTTGAGCTCTGCTCCTGTCCAGTGGCTGTCAGGATGCTTGAGAAGAAGTTTCCACAGTCTACAGCTAATTTACAGGTACACTTTTCTGTGTGTACAGGTATTGGGAATGGCTGTTATTGTAGAAGAGGGTACATTTTGAAGAGCAGGGTTTTTTTGCTACTTTTTTTTAGCAGATCCATGCAATACAGTGAATTTCATTATTAAGTTCTGATACAGAAAATTGCCATAACAGTATATAAAATCAATATAAAATCTGCTTACATTTAAGTAAGCATTTATAATTACATTTAAATAACATTTTATAGTGTTGTACTCGACACTATAAAAATTACTTTTCTGCTTTATTTTTTCATATTCAAATAGTTGGAGGTTTTGATGTGATCATTACAGCCAAGTTTTGTTTCAGTCAGCAGAGCTATACTTCTAAAGTGTCAATTTTTTTTTTTGATGGGGCATTGACCTAGATAAAATTCTAATTGCTTATTTTGCACCTAAATTTTTTTAGAACTAAGTAGTATTTCTTCATAATGTCCTTCCTGCTCTAATACCTTTCCAAAAAGATGGAATTACATGGATGTTGTGTAGTAAAACTTACTTAGAACAGCACAGGAAGTTCTAAAATTCTTGAATTGCATTTATTTTAATTTCTCTCTGCTTTGCCAGAGGTGCTGCTGATTACTGGATCTATCTCTGAAATAGCTCCAAAGGTGAGGAACAGGGAAAGGAATTGTACTTCTGTGTTCTCCAGGCAGGTTAGTGGCAGGAGCACCAATAAAGATGTCCCTTTGATAGTAACACGGGATTGTTCTATTTTGGTAGTGAACCTGGGTAGAACACACTATATGCCTTACCACTGTGTTAAATGGGAAGATTTGCATTAGAGAAGTATCGTCTTAGTATTCACTGCAGAATTTCCTCAATATTTGGCTTTCTCTGACTGTGGGTTTCTCCAGGCACGAGTAACGCTGTTAGTGCCGTACCTGTTTCCACAGTCAGGCTATGTATTCTTGTGGTGCAGGACTTGACAAAAGGTGTGCTGGAACAGTGGTCTACAGTCTGCTTTTTATCATGTTGTAAAGCAGAAGTACAATTAAGGTGCTCCTCAGAAAAGTTATTTAATGTTTTAGTGCCACAAAGATACTAAATGAATCATACGTGAGGG